CAGTGTTTTTGAACAAAAGAAAATTATAATAATAAGCTTGTTCGTGGTAAATGGGGCATAGATTGGTGCTTTTCTTTCTCCCACTCCGCTCTTTATTTATTTTTCCTTTTTCGCTTTTGTTAATGGACAACAAATTATCATTTCGCCCCAGTTGATGAGTAGAAATGTATGTCAATATATGTATGTATATGTAACTATGGCTTGCGCCTTGAATTGTATTTCCTTTCGTGTAACCGCAACGCTCTGCCGCCGCCACCACCATTCCTACCACCCAGCTGTGCCGGTTTTCGCAGAGTGCGGAAAATCACTTCAAAACTCAATGGCGTTGACGGCCAAGGCAACCAACGACCATCAATACCTACACCGAAGGTAACTGTGTATAGCTGCTGCGTGGTTGCCTGGGTGCTTCGCAGTTATTCATAAACATAATGAGCAGACGCCTTTTGTATGCTGCGTATTGTGCTTAGAAATATGTTTGTGTGTGTGTGTTTTGTGCGTCTATAAGTAGGCTAAACTAAAGAGCGAAATACACCACACAAGCGGTTTGACAAACCAAGCGAAATTTCCCTTTGCTTCAAGCCATTTGTGCTGTGTATGGGGGTGTTTGAAGGTTTGACAAACCGCCGTCAAACCTTCAAACACCCCCATACACAGCACAAATGGCTTGAAGCAAAGGGAAATTTCGCTTGGTTTGTCAAACCGCTTGTGTGGTGTATTTCGCTCTTTACTTGGCAATACATATCTACATTTATACTTCAAATACAAAGCAGCAGGCAGAGGATTCCTTTCAAAAGCCCAACAGCCGTATAAATTCTCCTCGTTAGTCAACTGTATGGCTGATGCTTAGGTCTTCGGTTCCGTTGTTGTGGAATTTTCGATTTATTTTACTTGTACTATTTGCAGTTGTCTGCGTGCACATGTACCTATGTATGTGTGTTAGAGTAGCGATTTCATATGAATGCAAACATATATAAATGTATGTAATAACTGCTTTAGAAATTATATTAAATCAAATACTCTACATTGTGGGAATGAGACGAGCTTTATTCCCTTTGCATGTGTGTGTGTGTGTGTGTTTAAGTATTTGTTCCTGGCATTGTTTCACAGCGGATACTTAAAAGCAACCTGTTGTTTTGTGACAGAGAAAAGTTGTCTGGCATCTTGTGGGGCATCTATGAACATAAGTACATATACATATTTGTATACTTATTTATTCGAAGAGAAGACATGAATGGAGAAGAATACGCAATACTGAGTTTAAGAGGCCAACATTTTTCCATAAAATTTTGTATTTAAGAGGTCAGTTGTTTAATAAAAATAATTAACAAGAAACATTTAGGAATTCTATTCAAAAATTAATAGCATAGATTTGGGCAAACAAAAAGCATACTTTTGGGGGTTTAGGTACAATTTAAGGCGTCAGAGAGCAGTAATCAATTAATGGCATACTTTCAGGTGCTGAAGCTCCGTACTCTAACCTAATATTTTAAATATTGTTTTGTGGTTTAGTTACAAATTTGTTCATCTTGAAGTTTAAAGCATAATTTTGGGCGGAATTTTTATTTTTATTTTTTTACTTGTGAGAGAAATTTATCTTACATTTACACTCTTCTGCCTATGTATTTCATTGTACATAAGTGCGTAGTAGATGTTCAAATATTTTCGGAAAGTGGTTCACATATTAATAGCATACTTGTAGGCGTTTAGTGTATTCTCTAACATATTCACCATAAAAATTAAAATCCATAGTACGCACACGTTGGACCACTTAACTCTCCACAATGGATACTCATGTTCGAAAATTGCTGCAAAGTGACTCGAAAATGCATAGCATACTTTTAGACGCTTGGTATATTTTTTCTAACACCCGCAATATTTGCAACAAATCGTAGCGAGCAAACGCTTTGTGGCATACATTTTGAAAACCTGTAACTTTTTTCTATATTTATAGCATACATTTAGGCGCTCACATAAAGTTTTTTGTTGCTAAAGACACGGGAACACAAATTAAACGCTTCCGTATTTCCAAAAGCTAAAGCAGGCCTTTTTTTAGGTTCTGAAAAATTGTAGAATATATTCAGTATTTTTGCATAAGGTTTTACTTCTAACGTAGTTAACCTGAAATTTCTTTTATGCTAGTTTTTGCATATATCATTAAAATAAACCGTACAAATTGATCATAAAATATATTAANTGCATTTACAGGGCAATTCTGGCTAAGACAGTAAATAGTCTTTCGTAAGACAAAAGTCTTAGAAAAAAAGCTCTCTCATTCACCACTGGTGGTGAAAAGCCGTTTTGTGAAAAAGCACTTAGCTCGCGTCGTGCAAACGGTCGCAATGGCCGATAGGCGCGCCGTTCGTAAAATTACGAGTTCGAGTCTCGGGCGGCGGAATTTTTTTTATTTTTTCTTACTAAATTTTTTTTTAATTAATTCAGAAAAAAAACACTTTACTTGAATTTAATTTAATTTTTAAAACCATTTATTTATTTATTTTTGCCTTAAGGTTTTTAGTTATTTATTTTAATTTCTTTTACTTAAAACCTTTGATTGTTTTAAAAAGAGAAAAACATAAGAACATACACATAACATAATTTAATTTAATTAAAAAAAACTTAAAAGGCGAACAGCATAACGCTAAGACCTCCTCGTTAGCAGATCTTCCAATTAGTCTTTCGAAAAACAGTAAAGAGCTTTTAAGATAGCTGCCAGAATAGACAACTGGGTAAGGGGAAAGATAGTTTCCATAGTTGCCCCGTTAGGCGCATTACTTTTTCTTGTCTGTATTGTGCGAAATTTCAAATGTCGCTCAATATTTCCATTTCTCCTGATAAAAATAGTTATTCTTAAATAAAACTGTGACTGTTTCTAAACCTTTTGAATTTTTTTTATCAAAAAAAATTTTCTTCGATGAAGCAAAATTCGAAACTTTAATATATCGAGCCATGGCCGCCAAAACGTTGTAATTGACATTTTTTGTTTCAAAATTGTACTTATTTCTGATGCAAAAATACATCTTGATGCTCTAGCAACATTTCTGCATCAAAAAGAAAATTTTGAAAAAAAATTCGCTCACACCTTTTTGGCGATTAGGGCTCGATATGATATTCATGTTCTTTACCTACTCTACATTTTTGGCATTGCTTATCGTTTAAATTTTCTTTCAAAGCTTATCACAGCTTTATTGAACGAAAACTATAAAATTCCACAACTTTTTTTAAAATAAGTATTTGGCGAAAATTTTAAACTAGCAAAAATTTTTCGAAATCAGAAATCTTTAATTTTTGTATCATACTTTTAAATTTCACAAATTTTTTACACTTTTTAGCCGGTAATCTCTTAGATAAAATAAGATATTTGAAAAGAGCTATGCACTGCGGCCTCTGGATCTATCGTGCACTCCATTCAACACGACACACATTTTATTCCTGTAACTTCCAGAAAGTCTTAAATAGCTTTTCGTGATCGGGAGTGTAGGTGCTCTTCCTTCAGCCACACCAATCCTACACTATTCATTCGGGAATTGTTTTCCATGAGAAAAAGTTTATTTTAAAATTTCACACTCAAAAATTTTGTATAATTAAAGAAAAAAATATTTTTAGATTGTTTACAATAAAAAAATATGCATATTTATACATCTTAAAATTTATGAAAAATATTTAATTTTATACAAAATATTTAAGTGGTTTTATTAAGAACAGTTCTCTTACTTAATTTTTTTAAATTTAATTTAAAACCATAATTTTATAAACAAAGTTGAATAAGCTGAAAACTAAAAACAAAACGCAACGCAATTTTTTTAAATTTAAAAAAGAACTTTTTCGATGAAAACAGAAAATTTCTGGAACTAAAAAAAAATTATTTTTAAAAATGTTATCAATATTACAAGAGTAACATTTTTTACATATTTTAAAATTTCTCTTAATTTAAAATTAGTTTTTATTAAAATTAAAACCATAATTTCAGAAACAAATTTTAAGTAGCTTGAAACTAAAAATTTCCAGCTATGCCAATTTGCATGGCAGCAATACAGGTTTTTTTTTTTCAAAAACAATATTTTCTGGTGAAAATCATCTTCTTATGCACCCTCTTAAATATGTAGCCTGCTACTAGGCGCTTAGGCATAAATTAAGACAAAGGCTACGTCAGTATTTATATGTTAGAAAATTATAAATGACTTAAAATGACATTACGTTACATATAAGTATATTAAGAATACTATGAGCAATATTAAGAAACTTTACTTTTGCAATAAATATCCTTTTTCAATTTTTAGAAAATTTTATGTTCCCTCGCATGTGATTTTATAATACCTTACTATTTTTGCGATCCCCTGTACAGCCCCAATTCACCCACTTAGCCCAAAAAAACTAGCCACTTAAATGTATTTTTTGGTGTCCCGATTCCCTTACAAATACTCTCCCCTTTTATGTCATACATATGTATTAGTAAAAAAATATATATATATATAAAAAAGCTACCTAAAAAATTTTCACCCGAAAATTTGTTTTCCATTTTTCTTTTCTTTTTTCCAGTTTCTCTGTGTGTAGTAGCCAACAACCCAAAGCAAACCAAATTTAATCAAACACAAATAAAAAAACAAATCCCCTAAAATAAACAAACTAACCACATATCCGAAAAAATCCAAACAAAAAATCTATACCAAACCCCTAACTGTATTTTTGTTTATGTGTGTGTTGTATGTGAACAAAAACTTGGTATAAGAAAGTACAAAAAAAACACAAAACAAACCAAAACACATATACCCAGCATTTGTGTTAAGCCTTTGCCCAACTGCAGCATTCTTTATCAGCTCTAAACAACAACGACAACAAACGGCGCCACCACAGCCTTCAAAACGGTTAACTTGAAAAGCCACACAGTCGGCCTTCTACTATTTGGCACTGCTAGGCGCGCTTTTCATTTTCCTTTGCTTTCTTTTTAACCGCTTGTCGTTTGTAAATTAAAAAACAAAAAAGATTACAACCACTAAAATTAGTCCGCGTTGCCAACCAACGTTGCTGACGCTGTCGCCATCATCGTCCGCATCGCCGTCGTCACCGCTGTCACCACAACTATGCGCCATGTCAAAACTGCGGCATTACAGGTCCATAGATCAGCCGTGCGCTGCGACCAACATACGCAAAAAGTTAGTTAGACAATTTGTTTGGAAATTAAATTAATTTTTTCTTATTCCTACAAAATCTTTTATCTCTTTTATGTCTTATAAACTGACAATTTTTCTCTTATTTTTAGTGCATTCGCTATGGCTTGCTATAAAATATTTTTAAGCTTTTGCTTGCAACTCTGCTACAATGGGACTTAAAAAGCTTTTTAAGGCCTTAGTTGCTATTGAAAAGCTTTATTCTTCACTTGGTTGCCTTTTTCTCTATCGATATGACTTGTCTACCTTAATGTGCTTTCCCGCATCTGATTGTAGCTACTTTGCCATAAAATAGTGATGACCACTCCAATCATTTAAACTACATACATACATACATGGTCAAAGACATTAATTTATTTAAATAATATTTGGTTTATAAATTTTTAAATAAAATAACTTTTCGTAGTTATTTATCCAACAAAAAATTATTCTAATAAAACTTACGAATTTATTATAAAAACTATTATATACATACATGCAGTGACTCAAACAAGTGACCACGTGTTGATTGTTTCTTTGTTACTTTTCTATAAAAATATTCATATTTACTTATTTGGAATAAAAAGCAAAAATCCTGCAATAGAAAAACTTAGGCAAACTTGCTCTTCATTAAACTAAAATTGCGTGGGATATTAATCTGCTAACCCAAAAAAATATTGTAAAGATTCTGATTAAAAAGTTTGAAATTTTGGTGAAAATTTTTTGAATTTTCCAAAATTGTGTATTAAGTTTTAAGCTTTGATTTCTATGGTTTTGTACAATAGTTTTGTAGAAAAATAACAAATAAATTTAACTTGAAAACAATTATGAATATTGAAATAAAATCAACACATGGTAACTTGTTTGAGTCACTGTTTATCACTATAATTCTGCTGCAGTTAGCTTTCTTGGCATCTGGTTAACAGCACAATTATCAGGGGTTTTAAGTTTAGGTTTAAGAATCAAAAGCTTGGCGAGACTTATCAAAGACACGCTGTTACAATAATTATTTCATAAAATCCTCTGTGGTAGAGTTGCTATAATTTTTTCGGCATGGATTTCGAGATTTATAACTTAGCTAAATTTTGTATCATGCGCACTTCATATAGAGTGTGATTGCGTTTCATATTGGACCAAAGTACGGAGGATAAATTAAGAAAACAGGAGCTTTTTCTTGCTTTGTTTTTTGATTCACCTGTATGTGTGTGCAGGACTTCAAAAAACCAACGCTAATTTTTAGTCATTTGAAACTCACAATTTATTATACTAAAATTATCGAAATTTTTATGAATATTTGCAAATTTTTTTTTTAATATTACACAAAGTTTGAAATTTGGATTTACACGGTTTTTGAATAAGTGAGTTATGAAAAATTATTTTTAAAAAATCTTTCAAATTTTTTATTTAAAAAAAATTTAAAATTGTAAAGCAAATTTAAAAATATACAGTAAGCGTCAAAAATAAGTATACCCTTAAGTTTTGATGATTTCATTTATTAATTTTTTCATAGCAATTTTCTTTTATTGCTTTATCAAATATATTTACTCTATAGCAAAAACTAAAATAATCAATTTTTTAATTTCATTCATAACCCGGAGAAATACAAAAAAAAAATTATTGAAATTTTTTTCAATTTCTCAGTTCGATTTCTTCGAAAACTATGTTTTTTTTTTTAACTTTTAACCTTCTAAAAATTTTATTTTCGCTCAGTAAATAAAATATAAAATACTTTTTTAAACTAAACAAATTTTCTGAAAATTTTTGCTACGGCAAAGAAATATTCAGAAACTTATTAAAAATTTATTAATGGGTCGTTTTCGTAAAGGAGCAGATACGAAAATGAAATGTGACATGAAAATTATAAAAATAACAATTAAAATTTAAAAAAATATATTTATGAGACATCCAAAAATTAAAAAGTCAAGTCACATTAAAAAAATATGTATATTAACAGGGATACGCTTTTTACGGAAAATTGAAAGAAAGTAAAATTAAAAAAAAAAATTTAAATAAAAATGGGGAAAAAATTGGCCAAGAAAATTAAAAAGAAACATTTATCTCACGGCTATCGTTAACTAAAATTTGAAGAAAAAATGGGAGGGTAAAATTCATCAGGCAAATTACATTTAACTAAAGAAAAAACACATATTTCAAAATTTCAGTTTTTATAAAAAAATTAAATAATATGTAAATATATTAAAATTATTTCGGAGCTTGTAGTTAAGAAACTTATGCAAAATTTCGTAAAAAAAAAATTTATCAATACAAAAAAAGACTTCTGCACATAATTCCGGAACGCTTTACATAAAATTCTCCGAATAACAGTCTAATACAAAAATATTAAAGTTATTGTAAGCGGTGTCAAAAAAAAATTGAATAATGTAAATAAAAATATAAAAATTTCTATACCTATTTCTTTATGTCTTTATATGTTTTGAAATCACTTATAAAAAAGTATAAAAAAAAATTGTTTTTTTTTTTTTAATTTTTTATATGTAATAACCCCAGATTTGTCGCACGGTGTATTAGCTATCACTTCCTATGGCTTTGCATGCATCGCACTTTTTTAAATACTTTCTTATTCTCTTTCTAAGATTATTTTTTATATTTGAGTGAAATTGAATTTTACTATTTTTCACTCACACTCACTCATCACATTCATTTCATATTGCTCGTCTGCGTTTCTTTTTTTCCTTCTCGTTTTAGGACTATGACAGCGATTTGTTTTGTATGCAATTTGCCGATTTTGTCACATCAGGTGGGCTTAGTGTGGCAGGGTGGCAATGGCTGGGACGATTTGGTCAGAGAGCAGGTAAGTAAGAAACACACACATAACACTTTTTTCAATAAAAATACGCACACTCATACTCATACTTTTATTTATACTCATACGCATACTCATACTCACTCTCCTACCGATACTTTTACTCATACCAATACTCTGCCTTTCGCTTCTTTCCCCCTCTCTCTCTCTCTCTCTCGTTTTCAGCTGGAGGAGTCGACGATACGCCAACGCTTAGGTGGTCGCCGCGATTCGGCTGCACAGATAACCACACCCCCTAGTACATCACCGCCACCAGGTAAATATGCGGTAAACCTCGGTTCACTTCTTATCCACTTACGCTCTCTTCTTTGGTTTATCTCATCCAATTCGCAGGCCTCCAACGCCGTCGTCGCAGCTCACTCGCACAACTCACCGACATCCTGCGCGAATGGAGCGGCGGTGGCGCTGCCAAGCAGCAAACCCAAAGCCAACGTCAAAAGGCGCAACTCAATCGGCGCGAAACCCTAGCTGACCTTGCGCGCAGCTTGCCATGGCGCACCTCTACCACCGACGCTTCGACCGGCGCTGGTTCGGGCACCACCTACATTACGCCACGAAAGCGTCGGGAATCAAGCGCCGATTCGGGTATACGTAGCATGCGCTCGCGCCGTGACTCCAATACAGCAGAGTTTGTGAAGCACTGGAATCGTCGTGAGAGCACCGCCGCTGATGAGCCCACCATGGTGGTGCCAGTTGTGGTGGAGGGTGCTGGGCGTAGTGTAAGTAATGCAATACTTTTATTGAAAGCGACATTTGATAGCTGCTCTGTCATTTCCCGCTTGTTTTCCTTCCTATCCTTTTGTGACTTATTGTAAATATATACATACATGTATCACCTGTGCAATCGCCTAATTGCAGAGCTCGCGTCGCGGTTCGGGAGAAAGCTACATCTCGAGCCGTCGCGACAGCAACATTGGCCGTGCCACCACACCACCTCCGCCACCCAAGATCAGCGGCATGGCCGCCAAGAAACGTGATTCATTAGCCGCACCCGATTTCCCCAACTTCCGACAAGAGCAACGTCCTTCCACCAGTTCTGGCGGTTCAGACTCAGTACCGCTAATCTCTGCCCCCGCCTATAATCAGGTTGACTCCGCATGCCAAGCGCTACCACCGCCCACCATCATCACAAGCTCGGTGACACCGCCGGCGACGAGCCCCACCGCACCGCTTAAGGGACGACGCGATTCCACCACACAATGTGGCCGCGTGAATCGACGCGATTCCAAGGCAGGAATTTCGCCTGAGCGTGCACCACGCCTACAACGTTTGCAACGTCAGGCTACTGCATTCGATGAGAGCTGCTTGCCAGGCGGCAGTCGACGTGGCTCCCAGCCGGCTCTGAGCCCTGATCCGCCGGAGGACTGCGAGCGACGCACGTCGCGCCGTGATTCGCTTAGTCCCGATAGCGCATCACGTGGCGGACGACGTGACTCTCGCGCGCATCTCTCGCCCGACCGCAGTCACGATCGTGATGGCAGTCCACGGCGGCAGACACTGCGTCGGCAGAGCTCGTCGGCTGCACGCAGCTCACGTTCGCCTGACTCGAACAGCTGTTGCTCGTCGCGTGATCCAAGTCCATGTTCACGGCCACCACCGTTGCCATCGGCAGAGCCCAGCTCGCGACCTGCTATACGTCGACAATCTACAACCGAGGAGATCTTAATAGCACGCGGCTTTCGACGACAATCCACCACTGAGGAGATGATACGTTGCAGGAATTTTCGGCGACAAAGCTCGCAGAGCGACGATGTGTGTCGGTGAGTAGTACGCACATGAAGGCTACATAGATAAAATAGGACAGAGTTTAACATTTTGGTTCATTATTTTCAGTTATCGCGGTCGACGTGACTCGAGCGCACAAATTATTGACGGCACCATCGGCACCATGACAGTAGAAACGACCAGCACATTCTTCGATTCGAGTACACAAACCGGTGAGTACCAGACACAATATTTAGTGCTTTAGGAGTTTAGTAATAGGTGGGTCACAAAGGGTTAGATATAGCAAGAATCTTTTATATAAATTCAACAACAAAATTTGCTATATAAAAACAAGAAGAATTTTACAAGTTTTTGTGCAGCAAAGCCCCGCATCGTGTAGCCATACTTTTTGTTGGACTCTCCTCTAATTTGATGTCCATTTTTTTCTTTTTGTTTAAATAATCATTTAAAATATTTAGGCAATCAAAAGCTCCTCACGATTCCAGTATAATGAGAAAAATTGTATTTTTTTTTTCAAGCAAAATAATTTACCAAAATCATAAAAAATGTACCTTTTTACCAACCCAAATTTTGGTAGTAGTTTATCATAGTGGCAACCCTGGCTACCTCCCACATATATTGGGCAAAATCTTCTGAACTTTCCGTCTTGACAGGCTAATATTATTCTGATCAAGATCAAGGACATGGAAAGTTTTTTTAATATGAACAAACTAAACCCCTGAAATGTTCTGTTAAGTCCATGAAATCACCTACATAAGGCAGGAAAATATAGACAAATTCATACCATTATTACAAAAGTTTTTGGTTAAATTTCCGAGAAATGTCCGAGAATTCTCCAAAAATAACGTGAAAAAAACTCAAACAAGTCCTAATAGATCCTAAAAGGATCCCAAGAAAGAGGCTAAAACTTAATAATCGAAAAAAAATTACGCTACCTTGTTTTTCGGGTTCCAAAAATTACAAAGAAGTTCCGCAAAATCATAGTAAACCCCTAACATGCCGAGAACATTACGAAGTAATTGTTGAAAAAATTTAACTAACACAAATAATATAAAATAAGTAAACATCTCCGAAAGAGTCCCAAAAAGGCACGCATTACCAGAAAAAAAAATCTCCAAAAAATTCTGGAAAAATTCCATTCTAATTTCTTTTTATATTTAATGAAAAAATAAAAACAAATAACTACAATAAAAACCCAGAAAAACTCAAAAACACTTTGAATAAGCCCAAAAATCTAGAAAATTTTTAATTTTTATTTTATAATTTTTAATGAAACAAGTAAGAAAGTCTAAGTTCGGGCGGAGCCGAACATTAANGAAAAATAACGTGAAAAAAACTCAAACAAGTCCTAATAGATCCTAAAAGGATCCCAAGAAAGAGGCTAAGACTTAATAATCGAAAGAAAATTACGCTACCTTTTTTTTCGGGTTCCAAAAATTACAAAACGTTCTTGAAGAAGTTCCGCAAAATCATAGTAAACCCCTAACATGCCGAGAACATTACGAAGTAATTGAAAAAATTTAACTAACACAAATAATATAAAATAAGTAAACATCTCCGAAAGATTCCCAAAAAGGCACGACATTACCAGAAAAAAAAATCTCCAAAAAAATTCTGGAAAAATTCCATTCTAATTTCTTTTTACATGTAATCAAAAAATAAAAACAAATACAATGAAAACCCAGAAAAACTCAAAAACACTTTGAATAAGCCCAAAAATCTAGAAAATTTTTAATTTTTAATGAAAAAAAAAATTAGAAGGTCAGCGGAGATCAAAAAATAATTGTTGAAAAGTCTAAATAGACCCAAAAAAAGAGAAATCCAAAAATATGTATCGAAATTTTTTTGGTTTAACTCTTGCGAAGTCCCGAATAACCGATATCTAGAAAAAGTTTTTAATGAAAAAAATTATGTATTGAAAAGTCTAAACGGATCCCGCAAAAGTCCGAGAAAGTAAAAAAAAAATATACATATGGAATTTTTTTTTTCTTAACTCTTATAAAGTGCTGAAGAATCGCCAAAATCTGGACAAAGTCCCAAAATGTCGTAACTGATCCCATAATATACGGAACTTGCGCTTCAAATACTCAAAAATATGTAAAAGATAAGGAAAAATCCCCAACTTTGGAAAATTTTTTCAGAAAAAAACAACGAAAACGCGCAATAAATACTGAAAAATCTTAAACAAATACTGAAAAAACAGAGAGTGTTTCAAAACTCAGCGAAAAATATCTGGAAATCTAGGAAATGTTTGGATAATTTTATAGCTGTTGTTAAAATATATAAATTTGACACACTTTTACAATAATTTGCAACACATTAAGTACTTGCAACTGCAACATTGTTGCACAGGCAACAGATAATTGTTTCATTGCTTAACACAAATAACTCAGAATAATTGAACAACAAACGCTGACACCAAGCAATTTGCCGCCATCAACATTTCCACTTCACTCAATGCCAGCACAGATAAACAAAAAAAAAAAAAGTTTGCCAGCTTAAAAGCGCAATGAGAATATAATCGCAATTTTTAATCTTTTGCTCACCTACGCTTGCACCTGCCGCATGGCTGAATGCATTGCAAAGTGCCACGCCGCAATTGCTGTTAGTTGATGTGGCAATAAGTAGAATTGCCAGCTTTGTTGCTGCACTCCTGTTCTGCTGCTGACGCTATGCCGGCGTCCTTGCGCCTTGCCATATGCACCCAAGCGTTGCAAGCATTTGGACTCTATAAATACATATCTACTTAAATACGTATATATGTTACAATAAATACTTCAGCAGCAATGAGTGTCAATATTAATTGCTCTGTTACAAACTGGTAAACTGTTAATTAACGCTTTGCTTGCTTGTTTATTGTGGCAGCAACAAATTTTGTTCCTGTGCAAACAGCCGTACATACATACATACATATGAAATGCGTATTGTAGCGGTACTGTATTTTGTTTGAAATACAAGGGAGGTGATTTCAATAGCCTTCAGCTGACTATAAATGAAATTTGTAGCGCATAACTTGGAAACACTTTGCTGGCTAACTTTGTGAGCATCCTTGTTATTTTGTAGTAAAATAAAAAATCTTTGGTGCAAGACAATCAAGCTCAGGGTGAGAAAAATTTACCCAAATAGTGAAACCTGCAAATCTTTTTTGCATTTTTCGGTCAAATGATTTTATGGCCATATTAAGTTTGCAATTTTTTTCCTGCNAGCATTTGGACTCTATAAATACATATCTACTTAAATACGTATATATGTTATAATAAACGCTTCAGCAGCAATGAGTGTCAATGTTATTTGCTCTGTTACAAACTGGTAAACTGTTAATTAACGCTTTGTTTGCTTGTTTATTGTGGCAGCAACAAATTTTGTTCCTGTGCAAACAGCCGTACATACATACATACATATGAAATGTGTATTGTAGCGGTGGTGTATTTTGTTTGAAATACAAGGGAGGTGATTTCAATAGCCTTCAGCTGACTATAAATGAAATTTGTAGCGCATTACTTGGAAACACTTTGCTGGCTAACTTTGTTAGCATCCTTGTTATTTTGTAGTAAAATAAAAAATCTTTGAAGCAAGACAATCAATTTGTAGCTCAGGGTGAGAAAAATTTACCCAAATAGTGAAACCTGCAAATCTTTTTTGCATTTTTCGGTCAAACGATTTTATGGCCATATTAAGTTTGCAATTTTTTTCCTGGGCGTTTTCAGAATAAGTGGAAAAGGGTTAAAATTCATTTCGGTGCGAAATATGTTGTTTGTGTATATATGTATCTATTATAAAATTTCGCGAGGACTAATTATGTAAAGTATTTTAACCCATTAACCTTCTAACGAAATTATCCTTTTGACGCCTTTTTTGGAAAATGTGCATAATATGGCATTTGGGAGGTCGCTTGAGGGTTAAAATATTCTAAAAACTATTCGTGGTTATTTTATGTATTCCTTTTTCAAAATTTGAATCTTATATGTATTCCTGAAATTCATTCGTTTTTATACCAATTATAATTTCTTGAAAATTTAAGATTAATTTTTTTTTGATATTCATTTGATTTTGAGAATAATTTTTCCTTATATCGTTTACTGTTGTCATAAATAGTTTTCTTGTAATTTTTTTTATAATATGTATTTAAATTTTCCTTTAAATTTGGAAAACAGTAAATACTCTAAACATTTTTTTTTTTGTTTTGCGAGTAAAATCTATAATTTTAACCTAAATTTGTCTTTTTTTATAAATTTATAAGTTTCACCACTATTTTGTATAACATCTTTTTATTTAAATTACCTACTTTATTTAATTTGCTTCATATTAAATTACGTTTTTTTATTTATTTTCTTTTTTAATTTCGAAAACAATGTTTATATGCAGTTGTTCGATTTTGAATTTCGTTATATTTTTAATAATATCTTTAACTGTATGTTTTAATATTTTTTTGGGGGCCACTGTGAATCCGTAGGATCCTGGTCCGGCCAACATCTAAATTAGAAAAAGTTTTTTTTTCTGACAACGTTCGACCCTCGGCAGACAATGGCAAACCTTCGAGTTTAGTTCTGCCTTCAAAAGCTTCTGAAAAAAAAATAAAATTCGATCGCTGCGTAAAAATGTAGGCCCCTCTATTTGTAGTATAACATCAAGGCGTTCACCACAAACCGGAGAAGAAGCCCGGCCAAACACTTGGCAAAATTGTAGGCGCCAAATATTTATTTACTTAATTTTT